CCCAGCACCCGCCTAACACCACCCGTGGGGAAGGGAAGTCCGGATGTGTTATGAAGTCTTCCCCTAGGACAGTTATAAATAGTGCAATGACATGCAAAGGAAAGCATACATAAAAGTTAGCTGCCCCTCTGTGGGTTACAAATGTTTGACTCATCTGCTGACTGTCCACAAAGATTATAAATAAAGTAGCCACCATTGGGGGTAGGGGTGTCACCCTGCCAGAATGTGCTTGCCTTCCCCTGAGCCAATACACTCAGAATGACCTATGACAATAAAACAAGGGCCTGGAGCCCTTGGTAGCTGGCTCTGGGGCTCCTGCAGTAGCCAGATCACTCACAGCCTTCTGCCTGCTGCAGCCCAGAAGGTCACTCCCAGGGAGGGTCTGTAAGAAAGGGTCAAGCCTATCCGGCTTTCCCAATGTGTCTAAAAACCACAGCATCCCAAGGGATCTCAAAAACATTAGGATATGCTCCAACAGCCATCTACCTCCAACCAGGTGGCACCTGGGCCCAAACAGAAAGTGCCACTTCTGCCCTTTTGCTGATAGACGCACCCTGCCAGAACTGGGATAGCACCTATGAAGAGCTCGGAAGTAGACTGTATGCTTAGTTCAATTCCCAGCATCAAAGACTAAAGATAAAGTAGAACTGGGGTGCTATCCATCATTCCAGTTGGAGGCTAGAAGTTGAACTCTCTGACCTCTGCAAAGACTCGAGCACCAAGTTGGCACTGTTCTAAGGGACACCATTGTCTAGAACTAGAGCCAAGCTCCTTCTCTGCATGCAGAGAAACTTGCCCCTCCCAGTAAATGCTCTGAAGAGGAAAAGGTAACTAGCAGGGAGAAAGAAGCTGCTGAGGGCAGTAGGTAGGACAGTCTGAGGAAACACCATCACGTGGGGTCCTCTGCCTGCAGCCTGGGTCACCCCAGCATCAGGCCAGGCCTGGACAGCAAGGAGGAGCAGAGGGGAAAAAAGTTGGTGGGGCACATAGGGGAGACATGAGCTAAGCTGAGGATCAGGGAGGCTAGGGCAGGGGCAGGGAGTAGTTTGAGCTTGTACAACATTAGCAGCAACAGAGCCATCCTGCTACACCAGCATGCCCCGGCCTCCTGGGAGACAAGCCCACAGCCCAAATGAGGGCCTATAGTAGAGAAATAAGACCCGTGGTGACTGATCAGTGAGACAGAGGAACCAGCTCAGACACCAACAACAAGACAGGGAAAGGTGGGGTGTCCTCAGGCTGCTGATGAAGGAAGGACAGGACAGGTCCACTCTCTCTGGACCCAGAAGAGAGGCAAAAGCAGGCAGCTTAAGGTGAAGGGTCTTATGTCCAAAACCTTCTCTAGAAGAAATACAAAGAAAGATCCCCCAAATTCTCATTGCTATAACTCTGAGAGGGGCCTTTGTAGGCAGAGACCATGTCACAGAGATTCACCAGCATCTACAGACCCAGCCCTGGCGTGGTGCCTAATGCTCAAGAAAGCAAATCCACCTATTACAATAAAAAGGGCACCTCCCCATCCAATTGAGGGGCTGCTCAGTACTTTTAAGAGCGCATTAGGGCTGTCTTGGCACCTCTCTGCCTGGGGAAGAATTCACCTCCTATCTGAGCTGCATAGGAACAAGCCCCACCTCCCTGCTCCCGCTGATTTGCCCCAGCACTCAGCTGCCAGTGTCATCGCCTACAGCCTGTGAGGGTGGGAGTGGGGATCGTTCTGTCCCGATTTCTCAACCTCCTCACACTGGCTCCCTTTTGCATCAACTTTGAACATGCTCAGGGTACATGCCATGTTCCTTTTCAAGAGATCCAGGCCTGTGTGATGAATTCCTGCCCCAAAACATATACCAGCCAAAGACCGCAACCCCATGATATAAAAGCAAAGAACTTCAGAAAGCAGCAGCCCAGGCATCCAGCTAGTACATCTTTAATCACTTGAGGAAAAAAGAGGCAAGAGCCGTTCAGTGGGAGGCTGCCCCAGAGATTCAAAATTGCCCACACTGAGGAACCTGCGTCACCCTGTACCTTCACCTGCCTTTAGACTGCTCTGCAAAGCCAGTCAGACTCACAAGCTCACCAACAAGAGTGTCATTCCTCCAGTCCAGAGTCAACTGAGTATCTGTGACCTCTCTTGTGGTAGTTCTTCATTCCAACCCAAACTCCTCTCCCACAGGCCATTTCCTCTATGAAGCCAGGGGACAGACACTAACCTCCCACCACACCAACCCACGTTTCAGGTGGTATCTCGCCGAACTAGTCAGCTCCCAGGACTTCTCCACTCACAAGTCCCAGCTCCTGACTGATTCTAGAGCCAGAGTTAGATTGGCAGTGGGGGGGGGATCTATCTCCCTTCCTGTTGGCACCACCACCATCAGTAATGATCCCAAACATCCCTTTTGTTGAGCAGACACTATATGGAGGCCTTACACTCACCCATCTAATCTAATTTCCCTACTTGACAGCTGGGAAACAGGCTGGCAGAGCTGCATGACTTATCCAAGATCACACAACTGGAAGAGGCAGAGCAGGAACTCTAACTTCAGTTCTATTCCTTAACAGGAGCCCATCTGCCTCCAGGGAAGACAGGAGTATCAGCCCTCCCTCTCTCCCTCCCCTTGTGTCCACAGGCCCAGCACAGAGAAGACCTCAGAAAAGGTGTATTCTGTTAGATGACCCAAAACATGAGAGTGCAGATGGACAGACAGGTGGGTGAGAGGGTTAGCAGGTTAAAGTGAGCCCTGCCTGTCTCCATTGCAGCCCTAAAGTGACAGGAAGTGGTCATTTCACCAGCAGAGGCAAGCAGGACCTTCTCAGGGGCTGCCTACTCTGTGCCACCTCCAACCACATGGGCCAGGCGGGAAAGCCCAGCTCCTCAAGACACCCTTCCCCTCTCTCACCTCAACCTGTCTCCCCAGCCTCTGGGAAAGCCCTGTTCCCTTCGTGCTCTGTCAGAGTGGCACCTGCCCCGGAGAGGGAAGCCCTCTTCTTCCCGCCCAGCGGCAGCCCTCTCCTGGCACTCAGACAAATGAACACGGATTCCACACCAGGAACTGCACAGCCACTGTCTCTGGAAAGAACCGTTTCCCTGAATGCTTCCACTGACAGGGGAGGTGCTGGGTTGCCCCTTCCACTCACCCCAAATACTTAAGCCTATATCAATCCCCTGCTGCAAGGACTCCTAACCCCAAGAGATGGGCGGCTGCCGGCCCCTTCTCATAGAGCAGAGCACCCAGTGGGAGAGATGGTTGGGAGAAGCAGCCAGCAGAGGGATCTGCCGTCACTGCCACTGCCAGCGGCTCAAAGGCTCATTAGAGGCAATGACTAAGTGAGCTGCGCTTCCAGGGGAAACCCCATTCGCTTCTGCTCACTGCTGCCTCGGAGGGGATCAGCTTTGAGCTATTTAGACTGAGGCGGCTTCCAAGGGCTGCCCTGGGCTGGGGCAGCCCCCACAGAACAGCTAGGCCCCAAGAGGACCCTCTGCCTGGAAGTCTTTGTACTGGCTATTCAGGTTGTCTGACAGGTCTACCCCACCCAGGCAAGTCTGCTCATCTCTGCTTAAAGTGAGATGTTGGGAAGGGGGGAAATCCGATCAGCACCTCCTAGGTTTTTGCGACTGGATTTCAACAAGGAATGTGACAGTCTCACAGCAGCTGTGCCCTGCCTGAAACAAGCTCTATTTGAAGCCTCCAACAGCTGAACCCCTCCCAGCTACCCGCCAGCCAGCCCAGCCACCCCCTGCCCAAAATGACAAATAAATAGAGAAATCCAAGCAACAAGCAGGCACACAGGCAAGTGCGTGCATGCGGGCGCATGTGTGTGCACACACACACACACACACACACACACACGATTCTCCAAGTCTCCATGACTTCGGGTCCACAGCAGGAGCCCTGACACACACACATGCTCCACAAACCGAGCATCCATAGAAACTCACCTTCTTCAATCTCTATTCCCTCTGGGGAGGGGGGACCCCTTCTTGTCTTGGGACTAGATTAAGAGGCTGGAGTCATGGGGCCGGTTCCCTCCTGAAGCCAATGACCGCTGTTCTCCATCCGAGCATGTACACACACACACACACACACACACACACACACACACACACACATCTTTATTTATCCCAAGGAGAAGGAGTTGGAGTAGGAGGGAAGACCTAGGGCTGAGCTGGGGGGTGCAGGCTCTCTGAGACCTGCTAGGGAAGCCCTGTCATCCCATGCCGGAGAGTGGTGCTCTCCCCACCCCTGGCTGATGTCAAGGCAGCGCCCATCTGCTGTGCCTGGGTAACACCTGTAGCCATTTTTATCAGGGGATGTTCATGAGGCAGCAGCAGGTTTATTCTGAGTCCTCCTTCCTAAGGGAAGAGCTACTGATTGCCTCTACCTATATTTTTATCTCAATGCCCTCGGGAGACTCAAGTCTTGGATGTCTTTCTGTTTTGCCCCAAGTCTCTCTGGGAAGCAGAGGGAAACAAAAACTTGGGGAAAGAGGGAGAAGATAGGAAGAGATGACTTGGGCCACAGTATGGAATCCCCACCCCCCACCCAGACATTTATTTCTTTTTTATCCTGGGGAAAATGGAGTGGAGCAGGGAGGGGAGGAGAGAAGGGGTAGTCACAGGAACTGGCAAACACATCACTGGCAGAGTGTAATTAATTGGTCCGTTAAGCTGCTGGGTTATGCTTTAGTACGAGTGAGCCAGGAGGAAAAATGATTTCTCAGAAGGGATTCTCTAATCCTCCTGCAAATTAGACCCAGTGCATGGGGATGCCCCCTGAAAAGGAAGCAAGGAATGAATTCTCCCAAGATCAAGAAAGAATCCATGGGAAGTTGGAGTGTTCATATAACTGGTCAAATGCCACACACACACACCTCTATCACTCTCTCCCAATCTTCCCCAATCTCTCTCTCTCTCTCTCTCTCTCTCTCTCTCTCTCTCTCTCTCTCTCTCTCCACACCTTCATATCCTTTTTCTTTAAGGTATAAAGAGAAACCACAGCCCCTACCTTCGAGTACAAACCCCAAGACAGCTCGGTCTCTATCACCATAACAACAATTCCAAACATCCCAAAAATCAGAGCATAGTCACTGAGTCGCTTTCTCTTTTCAAACAGGGCCCTCCTGTGTCCCAGCTTATAGCCAATATTTTGGTTTTTCCGCTTGTTGGCTTTGGGGAAGGTGGTGCTGCTGGCAGTGGTGCCGGCATGCTGGTGGTTGTGGGTGGCATTGGGGTGATGGAGCAGGGTCTGATGGGCATGGTTGTCCTCCCGGGAGGAGATGACGATCTCTGGGGGGTTGCTAGGGCTGAAGAGCTGGAGGGGTTGGCCCTCAGGCTCAGCCTCAATGAGGTTCCTCCGCGAGGCGCTGAGACGGCTGAGGGGTTTCATGACCCCACCGCTGTACTTGCAGGAGCTCATGGCGATCTCTGTGAAGGGGTTGCTGTCCCGCCGGTGCACCAGGGGGCTAGCCTGCCGGTGCCGGCTGCCTCCACCAGGCCCACTTGTGGCTGTGGAACTTGGAGAGTGGCCAAGCAAGTGGTCATTGAGATTGAGCTGGCTGCCTTGCCTGGAGGAAGGGTGGAGGATGGCGGTGGAGTTGGCCGAAGGGGGGCCCCTGAACGCGGTGGGAGATGAGTGTAGCAAGCCCGGGTGGACAAGCTGGCTCTGGAGTTGGGCGAGCTGAGACAGGGGATGCGATGGCTGCGGTGGCTGCTGGAGCTGTGGAGGCTGAGGCTGCAGCTGGGGTCCTGGGGGCTGCTGGGGGGCTGCTGGGGGCGCTGGCGGTGGTGGCGGTGGCTGTTGTTGCGGCTGTTGCTGCTGCTCATCCCCAGAGGATGGACAGGGGCACTTGGGGTCTTCATCCAGGTCCCCCACCCCAGAGTCATGGAAGTGCCCAGAAGTGTCCATCTTGGGGCCTGGCTGGATTCCCTGCAGCACAATCCCCCACCCCAAAGCCACCCTCGCTCCAAAGATGTCCTCAAAGAAAGCCAGGCATCCGAGCTCCCCCAGCAGTGTCTTGGCTCAGTCCTCTCCCTCTGGCTGGCTTCGGCTCTCTGGGGCTGCCCGGAGTCCAGACGCTGCCACTCAAGAATGCATTGTGGTGGGCAGAGAGGGAGGGCAGGAGTAGAGCCTGAGAAAGGAGAGGGGAAGGAACTCTGTCCTAGGAGGGGGGTCCTCCAGGAGCGTGTGAGGCCAGGCTCTGCTTCACTCCTCGCTGGCTCTAGAGCTCGGCTCTCCTCCTCCTGCCACTGTTATATTGGAAGCCAAGCCCACTTATTAGCTGCAGTGCCATTGGCTTGGCTTCACTCTCCCACCGCCTCCGACTCCGCCTCGCGCCCGGGCTCCTCCCGGGGGTGGGGCCGGCCATCCTCCCGGCCCGGCGAAGGCTGGGAGCTGTAGTTTCTGCTCCACGACCCCAGCTCAGAGCCGCTGCCCTGTCAGGTGTGGCACAGTCGAAACCTGCACAGCCATGGCGATCGGAGGTGCGTCTACGCGGGGCGACGGGAAGAAGGGGCAGGGAATCCTGTGGAAGGCAGCTGGCGCCACGATGAGGGGATGGGGATGGGGAAGGGAGGCACATATATTAATGGCCCAGGTCTAGGACAGGTTGTTGCATACACCTCCCAGGTAGATGCTTACAATGCCCAAAGAGCCAGGTTTCATGTGTTCCCCATTTTACAAAGTAGGAAACATGTTCAGAGGCGTTGAGTAGCAATGTCAAGGTCACAAGCAAAGGTGACCATTCCTCGTGCGGATGGTGAACTCAGCTAGCACTGACCCAGCTCTAGTAATGTGTGTGCGGCGCCTGTTATTCCCAATCACTCTAGAAGAGTCACTGTCAGAGAGTCATCACTCTCCTTTCACAAATGAAAACTATTGGGACCTGGGTTCAATCTCCGGTCCCGCACAGCACGTCGACCCCACCCCCGGGGCGCGCTGAGCCAGCAACAGAGTCCAGGTGGGGTGGCACAGGCCTGTAATCCCAGCGCTGGGGAGGCTGAAAACAGCAGGATCACTGCGAGTCTGAGCTGCATAGTGAGGCCCTGTTCCAAATACACAAAATAAGAAAGAAAGAAAGAAAGAAAGAAAGAAAGAAAGAAAGAAAGAAAGAAAGAAAGAAAGAAAGAAAGCTGATTTTAAAAAGAAAGAAATGAAAAGGGAAAGAGGGAGGAAGGGTGGAAGGAATGAAGGAGGGAAGGAAGGCAAAAACAATAAATAAATAGCACAAACAAGTAACTTTTGTAATTAAAGGTGCAAGTGCTTGAATTTATGTCCATCTGACCCCACATTCTGTGTCCCAGAATGTTTCCCCCGTGATACTTGGTACAAAGTGTGTGCTCAATAAATATTGTTCAAATGATGGGTGAGAAACTTCTGGGGAGACTCCGTCAAGGAAGAACAGACTTCCCCAAAGGAGGTGGACCACGGCTCCAGCCTCTTCTCTGACAGCTGCGTGTGGAGCCACCCACCCGAGGGTCTGGCAGGAAGACTGAAGCCCCCTCATGGTGGCTCCCTGCCAGGTGTGACCCATGCAGCTCTGAGAGTCGAGGCTGGGAACAGCTGCTGGCTTCCCAGGTTCACAATCATCATCATCAAGTATTTATTAAGCTCCCATTGTGTGCAGAGGGAGTTCCAAAGGGATGGAACCAAAGCTGAGTGGATTTCCATTCTTAACTACAGCTGCCTTAGGGACCAGAGAGGAAGACTCCTTGGTGGAATCCTCAAGCACACCTAGGGGGTTAAGGAGGAAATATCTTCCTTGTCTGTTTCCTAATTCCCCATGACCTGTTGGCTTCTCTCCTTCACTAGGTAAGAGGGGGAGATCCAGGCACACACACACACAAGGCTCAAGTGTACTGCAAGCCTTCCGTTTTGTGTGTTTTCCATGACCATGCAAGCTCTCCGGTACCCCACTGCACCCCCTCCAGTGAGCCCTGCCTGCCCCCTCCCCACCTGTCCTCTTGATTTTCCTCCCTCTCTTCCATCCCCAAACTAAGCCACCTATTTGCTTCAAAGTTCCAAATCATTTATTTAAGTTTAATGATTGTCAAATAGATCACCATTAATATGTGCCTAGTGGCAGAAACATACCATTAATACTAAGTTTTATTGCTGGATACAGCTTCCAGGCTGTGAAAAATCAATTGGAGGCACATGTTCCAGGCCTGGGCACTCTGTACCCTGTGGGCTGGCTTCTGCCACAGCTCACTGTTCTGGTCCAGGCTCCTCAGTCCAATTTTCCTGACTGTGCCAGCAGGATCTGGGCTGTACCTAGAAGAGCTGCCTTACCACCATGGACAGGGATGGGAATCAGCCTGCATGGGCCCAGGAACTCCAGAGATCAGAGATTCATCTGGGAATGGGACTTGAAAGCTAGTGCCACTGAGGCCCTAGTTACAACTGCCCCGTCTTGAATAGAGGCAGACAGCATCCAGATTAGAGTCCCGGCTCTGGAGTCTTCCAAGGCTGGAGCCCTTCACCCTGCTGTGCCATAGGATGACTGAATGGCATTAGGCAAGATGGTCTCCTGAGCCTCATTTTGCTACTCTATAAAATGGAAGTAATAGGGTTTGGAGGAAGACTAGATACAAGTCACAAGGAGGACCTATCCCATGTCATCATATGTGGCAGCCCCGAGTCCCTGGTCATATACTGTAGCTGGCCAGTGCTGGCTCTTTAGAAATACCCATGCACATGTCCTCCCAACCCCAGACTCAGCAATGTCACTGTGGTAGCTTGAATGCCATCAAATGCAGTACTCCACCACAGGAGCCGGCGAACACAGCAATTGGGGCTTACTTCTTCCTGTAGAGTGGCTGTTGAGGCTTTACTGGCTGTTAAACATCTACTAGCGCATTTAGGTTCAATGACCCTCTCTGCCTATCACTGCCTCCACTCAGACTGAATGCTGCACCCTCCTCCAGAGATAGTCCAGGCCTGCTTGCCTCCTGTCCTGTCCCCAACTAAGCTGTGCACCTGGCCCACTGTGTTACCTTGGGCCCACTGCTTAGCCTCTCTGGCCTTTTATTTGATTGGGGTCATCCAGGTAACCCAGGTAAAGTACTTTATACCTGCCAGTACTTACAGGTTGGTGACTGCCACCTGTGGCCACCGTGCAGGGCGTGAACACACCAGATGTTCCGTCCTGCCCCATCCTGCACTACTCTGCACTCGGGCATCTCCCTGCCAGTGCTGCAAGTTAGAGGCACCTCCGACCCCCAACTCTATGTCTTCCCAAAAACATCTGTGTTGGGACCAACATTCACTTTTCAAATGAGAAAGAAGCCATTAGACCTGCCTTAAAACTTGTCAATAGTCACTAAGAAGTAGCAAGTGGCAGAGCTGAGGTCAAACCCAGATCTGTGCAGCGCCAAAGTTCAAGCTCTTGCATGTGTCCTGAAGCTAAAATCCAGTCCTATTTGTGATTATTAAACATTACTGTGCGACTCCCGTAGCCAACCCTCAGGAGCTTACCTCTAACCCTAGAGACAAATCAGGTTCACCTAGGGTGAAAAGGAGCAGCAGTGCAGGTCCCAAGGTGTGACAGAGATACTAGAGCTCACAGAGGGCAGAGGGCAGTCAAGGGAGGTGGCTGGACCTGAGACACAAACTGAAGACCGGAGCCACACTTAAAATAAAAGGCTGACACATTAGGCCTCTCCAGGCTACCTATGGAGATCAAGGAGGATGACAGAGAGTCCAAGGAGAATCAGCAAGGACACTGAACCTTGGAAGGAAGGAGCAGCCTTCGGCCACACCAGCTCCTCCACCTCAGGGGTGCTGGGGCTCGATCCTTGCCCTCCTTCCACCCTCACACCTCCATCTCTGTCTTTAAGCCCCAGCATCATTTGTTTTCCCCCTGAACCATGCTGTTTCATATGCCTCCACCTGCCTTGCCCTGCCACTGCAGTCCTCTTGGTCCTTCCGGACATACCCCAAAGGTCTGCTCTGTGGAGGCCTCCCCTGAGCGCCCCACATCTCAGGATGCCTGCTTTGCCCCTGCATCTGCAGCTCTTACGGGACCGGGCATGCAGCCGATGCATGACAGAGATTAACTGCACCAACTGAACTTGAAAGTGGGGAGAGGTCATTTGGAGGCAAATAAGAAGTCACAGCACTTTCACAACAAATAACAAGCATTATTTCCCTGTCACCAAAATGAGTGAGGAGAAGAAATGAGTTCTAAGATCACTCAGCTTTAAAATTCCATAATCTATGGTCTATAGAACTTGCCCCTAAAATGTACAACTGGCTGAAACTAGGTTGAGGAAAGTAATGACTCAGGTATATATGGTTGTCTCCCCCATAGACTAATATTCCTTGGGAACAGAAGAGGTCCAATTTTTTTCCATATCCCCAGCACTGAGCAGGACATCTGGCCATAGGCATATTCATTAAAGGCTTACCACATGGATGGGTAAATGGATGGGTGGATGATTGATGGACGGATGGGGGATGGATGGATGGATGGATGGATGGATGGATGGATGGATGGGGGATGGATGGGGGATGGGTAGATGACTGGATGGATGGGGGATGGACAAATGATGAATGAGTGATGGATGCTAAACATATAATAATGACTTCCCCAGAAAAGCCAGCGGTTTGAGAGCTATCTTTAGTCCTTTAGAGATAGCATTATAAAAATCAACCACACTATTCCCTGGACCCTGGATGTCCACCCAGATTCCAATTAGTATTGTGTTCCTATCTAGATTTGTTGCTCAATTAATTAATGCTCTAATAAAAATAATTGTATTTGCATAGCGCTTCATTGTTTTCCAATTGCTCTCACATAAATGACTACATTTGTACCTCCTGACAACCCTGAGAGCCAGGCTGGGGGGAGGGGGGACCCCTTGCTCTTGCCCCCATAAATTAAAGTTTAGAAAGGTTTATGCAGCTGCTCAGGGTCATCAGACAGCCAGAATCTGAAGGCTCTTCATCCACACACCTTCACACTGCATCCACTCATCCTAGGACCTAAGAAAGTACAAGCCCTGCCCCAGCCCCAAATTTCCCAGGACCTCTCTTGCCCATGCTCTACCTCAATTCCACACCGTATCCTGCTTCTGAGTTCCCTTAGTAATTTATTTCTGTCTCTCTGGGGCCACTTCGCCCTCTTTTCCTTGTATTGGCACTTTCTCCGTATGCGCCGTTTTTGCCCATTTTTAATTTATGGCAGGAGCTCTATGGTGACTGGAGTTC